GTTTCATGTATGAATTATGTTAGCTTGAAGTAATGATGAGATATCTCTTCATGAATCGCTTGACTTGGTAAGACAAGACCATCCATGGTAACGTGAGATAGTAGAACTCATGGATAGCCTTGGATTGAGAAATCGTACCCTTCCAATGTAGCTTGGACTAGCATAATAAAATGCTTGCATGATAGCTTGACTTGGTGAGGCCACATCATTTCATGATAGCTTGGATTGAGCAATACTACCCTTCCTTGAGTAACTTGGACTTGCATGAGAGTGTGCTTTCCATGATAGCTTGGTCTAGTATAGTAAGATGCTTTTCTTTGATAGCCTTGAATTGGTAAATTGTAACCATTCATAAGTGATGTTATATTGTGGACTAGTAGAGAAATACCCTTCTATGATTACTATGAATATGAGGGACAAGTCCCCAATCTAAGTAGCATGCTTATGATGAATCAAGATTACTTAATGAAAGTATTGTAAGTATGTTTCAATATGAGATTTGCTTGTACGATGTTAGATTAGCTTGGATTGTTGCTATAGTTTCCTTCCTTGATATGTTTGACTTAAGGTGAATGTTCCCTTTTCTATGAGAAATTAGATAAGGATGAGATCAAAAGATGATGAATATGAATGAGGGCCTAAATGGTTTGCTTAGCATGGGTGAGATTTATGGGGTCTTATTCATGCATTGCACAAGCATGCTTTGAGGGTTACTTATGAAGTGTTTTTCTTATGTCATGTTGATCTAGATGCATTGATTATGCCTATGACTATGTTGTTATCCCTTATGCTTATAGTCTATGCCTTATGTTGATGTCTCTTATGATTTTGGTATATGTCTTATGTTGATTAATGCCTATATTATGCTTATGGTGATGATTTATGCTAGCCATCATATTTAGTAGTTTATTGTACTAACACATACTCTTGCCTACATTTTTTTTATCAAGTATAGGTTCCGACGATATGGACTTCCATTCTCGTGGCTAGGATCTTAGTAGAAGCAAGCAAGTGAAGATTTGGTGAGTCCTCATAGCATCGAGGAGTTGCTCACCCGTTTCTTTTATGTCTTTCTTTATATTAGAACTTTTGTATGGGCGGTGTCCCTAAGACTTTCATGTATTATATGGTTTGAGACAATGTTAAAGACTTCCGGTTCATTTTAAGAGACTTTGGTTGTATTGGAAAATGTTTTAAATTTCCGCACTTTTCTACTATCTTATGTTATGATATGCTAAGGGACTTATGTGAGACTTCTCGGAGTCTTGTACGCCTTGTTAAATCTAGGGGGTACCCCTAGTTCGTGACAAACTTGGTAATCAGAGCACAAGGTTTATAATGGTTCTAGGATGTCTCAAAACAACGTCTAGTAGAGTTTTGTTCATAAGTGTGAAGTGCGCCACATTTATGAATGAGAAGATTTTATATGCTTAGGAAACTTAACTTCTTCATTCTCTAAGTCGTGCCATAGAGTTTAACTCTATTAGGTCTTTTTCCTAATTTGTACCCGATGGTTTTCAAGATATGTTTATTACATGGGCTAATGCTAGAAGGAATGAAGAAGGCAATGTGGATCAAGAATTTCCTCCCCAAGCTCCAATTGACCCTTTAGATGGGAATGTGACTCATGCGGAGTTTAGGGAGACTATTCAAATGATAGCTCAAGCCGCGAAGGCCCAAGCCAATTGAGAGGTGGTAGCTCATGTGAACCCAATTGTGGGTACGACCGCTTCAAGAGTGGGGGATTTTATGAGGATGAACCCTCCAGAGTTTTATGGGTCAAAGATGAATGAAGATCCCCAAGAGTTTATAGATGAGGTCCATAAGATGTTAGACATTATGGGAGTTACTCCGGTAGAGAAGGCGGAACTAGCCGCTTACCAACTTAAAGGAGTTGCCCAAGTGTGGTTTAATCAATGGAAAGAAACTAGAACGGAGGAGATGGATCTCATACAGTGGGAGAGGTTCAAAAATGCTTTTCTTGATAGGTTCTTCCCTATAGAGATGAGAGAGGCAAAGGTGCTTGGATTTATTAAACTTAGGCAAGATAGTATGAGTGTTAAGGAATACGCCTTGAGGTTGTAACGACTCGGAAAAATGATAGGTTAAGCAAGAGCCTATGACTTTGTGTTGACTTTATAATGAGGTTCTATGAGGGGTTTTTATGTAATTTCGTTTTAATTGTTTATTATGTGGGGTTGATTTTAAATGGTTTTGGGTCTTAAAACATTCCTTTAACTCATTATTTTCCCAAATCAAATCCCAAGTTCTTTCTCTCTCTATATCTCTCTCTAACTCAAGGAAGAAGAAGAAGAAGAAGTTGGAGCTAGGGTTGAAGATTTCAAGTTCTTTCTTCTTCAATTTTTGTAGGTTTTCAACTTAGAGGTATGGTGACCCTTGATCCTTGATCAATCTTTCTTTCAAGGAGTCCAATCAAAAGAGTTTCAAAAAAAAAATGTTTCAAAGAACAAAAATCTCAAATTCTAATCTAAGCATGGGTTCATTGGCAAAACATTTTCTAAGCCATTATATTGATGAATTAATGTTTGATTAATGTTTTTAAGATGATTTCATATGGAATTCCTTGAAGAACCCATGATTTCCCTAAACTCCTAAATTTGCTTATGAAGTGGGTCTATTTCTATAAATTCAAAGTTGATGGAATTATGTGTAAAGTGAATTGTATTGATATCTCTTGTGTTGTTTAATGTTTATTCATGATTAATTGTTGATAATAGGTGAATTAAGGGTGGTAAGCCTTAAGGGTGAAGTATTGGTGTTGTTTGGATTTTTGGTGATTTTGGCTATGGCTTTGAATTATGGTAAGAAAGCTTGAACTCTCTTTATTGAATTGATTGTTGTTGGTAGGTTGAATCCACCTTTGGTGGAAGTGTTATATCTTGTTCTTGTGTGGTATTATTGTGAATTGTAACCATGAAGGCATTTGGGAAGTTGTTGCATAATGTTGGAATATTGTATTATTGTGAATTGAGGCCATGAAGGGCATTATATGAATGTTATTATATTGTTATATTATTATATATAAATGAGGCTATATGTAAAGTTCTATATGAAGCTATATGTAAAGTTTCATGTGAAGCTATATGTGTGAAGGTATGATGTGAATGAGTTTATGTGATCTTCTGATGATCCTATGTAAAGTGGATAGCATTGTGATATAAAGTATGATTTTTCTCATGATGTATATATGAAATGATGTTGGATTATGAAGTATCCTTAGATGATAATGTTGTGACTTGGTTGGTAGACTAAAGTGTCTCTCCTTGTTACTTAAAGTCTTGAATGCATGAATGTGTGAAGTGGGCAAGAACTAAGAAATGGTGCCCTTTCTATAAATGCTAAAAGAGAAATTCTAGGCCAAAACTTGAATCGGCAAAACTAAGAAATGGTGCCCTTTCATAAGTCTAGCTTTCCTAAGTAAATGTATAACCTTGAAGGATGGGCCTTAGGGCGAAGTTCCCTTCTTGAGTGAGATGATAGACTTAGAGATGGATGGAGCCGGAATGACATGATAATCCTTATCTAAGAAAGTCAAATGAGCTATCCTTATGAACCTTGATTGGCCATGACTAAGAAATGGGGCCTTTCTTGGGAAGAGGTACTATGAGTTGGTTGAACTAGAAAATGAACCCTCTCTAAGTACATATGTGATTGAATACTCTATGGGAAACAAGGCTAGCACCAAGTGGATGTGGTTAGGAAGGTGGCCTAGTTGAGTATGAGATTAGGCACAATGAACTTCCTTGGACATCTCCTAAACCATGTGCCTACATGGGTTGCTTACTAGTTCTACCTTTGGCAAGTAGAACAACCTCCACGGAGTAGGATAGACTCCGGATTCCATACCTAACTAGTATGGTCTATGTCGGTTATGCATATTCCCATCATGTGGGATGTGCACTCTAGTTAATGGATAGGTTCTACAACGTGTAAGCAGTACTATGAGATGTTATCTACACATGGCACGAGTAGGCTTTGTAGATACTAAAGTGAGTTCCCTAAGTCTAACGACTATGATATGAAAGTCCCCTTATGTGCTTGAATGTCTCCTAAATGGTTTCTTAAAGAATGTTGGCCTATTGATGTTATGTTGTAAAGGAAATGTCCTTATCTAAGGTAATCTTGAGGAACTCTTAAGTGTGCTTGAAGAGGTTGTATGGGCGGTCACTTCTTGTCTTACTCAAGTGTGTCTTAATGTTATATTAGGTAGAGGTCCTATGGTAATGAAATGACATGTGTTCCTTTAAAGTTAAGCATGGGTTGTATATGAATATATGTTGAGTATGTATACGGTTGGCTATGGTTTTATATGTGAACATTGACTTGTATTATGTCTCTTATACTTGTGAAGTGAAGGTTTTATCAAAATGATATGAAAGCATACATTTCTTGTAAGTGTCCGTTGTGCATATTTTCTTGCATGGTCTCCATACTTAGTACTTAATTGTGCTAACCCCCTTTCTTTCCCTTTTTGACTAAAGTGTAGGGATTTGGAGATGGTGACATGTCATGGCTACTTGATAGGTTTCTAAGTGTTGAAGATGAATACTTGGTGAGTCCTCATAGATTCGAGGACAATACCCTACATGTCCTTTTTTTTATGTCTTTCTAGTATTTGCTTAAGTTTTGTATGGGCTTAATCCCAATGTTGTATTCAAAGTATTAGATGGTTTGAGACATAAGTGTATAAAGTCTAGAAGTCTTCCGCTTACTATTTTAATGAAATGTCTTTCTTGTAAAGAAATTTTTTAATTCTTTATGGTTTTTAGTTTTATGCGATGAATAAATGCTAAGAGGCTTGTATTAGACCTCCGAGAGGTCGAGTACGCCGGTTACGACTAGGGGGTGCTCTCGGGTCGTGACAGAGGTTTACCCAACTATCTAAGTATGCTCCTTCAATTATGGAGGATCGTAGGGCTAAGATGAGTAAGTTTGTGTTGGGAGTGTCTGATCTAGTGGTGAAATAATGTCGTACGACTATGCTTATTCATGATATGGATATTGCTCGTCTTATGACTCATGCTCAACAAATTGAGGAAGCAAAACTAAAAGGGAAAGCTAGGGAGAAAAAGAGGTCTATAAATGATGATGGTGATTCCTCTCATGTGAGGTCCGATGGACATGGTCGTTCTAGGAATCGACAAAGGTTTTTCGGGAAAGACTACTTTAATGCTCCTAACTACTAAACCACAAGGAATAGTAGTGAGCCCCTATGGCCTATTTGTGCTAAATGTGGAAAGAGACATGAGGGTAGGTGGTTGGCCGGTAGTGAGGGTTGCTTTAGTTGTGGTGAAAGTGGCCACAAGATGAGAAATTGCCCAAAGATGAAAGCTAAGGGAAGAGAGGGTAAGCAAGTTGCTCCTAGTGGTTCAGATGGGAACACTTTAAAGAAGAATATGTTTTATGCTCTCCAAGCTAGAGGTGAACAAGAGTGTCCCCTGGATGTGACTACCGGTATGTGTTTTATGCTTTATAGATTTCGATGTTGTTTTGTCTTTTGTGACTTGATATGCTAGACTTTGATGTTGTCTTTAGTATGAATGGGCTGCATTATTGTTATTGTTTTATTGATAGTAGAACCCTACTTAGCCATTTTGCATTTTGGGTATGTTTATAAGATTTGATGTGTAGGTGTTTAGATAATACCTAGGTGTGGTGATTGAGTAAACTCCTATGAAGGGTAGTAGTGTAATTCACCTTGGCCTAGAATCCTCTTGTGTGATGGATGTGAAAGCTTTGTGATAACTTGTTCAAACCTTAGAATTGAAAGAAATGGTGCTTAGAAAGTCTGTATAGGCTTACTCCCAAGAGGGGGGGATGATGTGCTTAGATAGCAAGGTCGATGAGTGTCCTTAATGTTCATGCTTTGGGTTGTTAGAAATTCTCACCTTTAGAGGTGTAATGAGTTTGGAAGAGTTTAGTCCCCGTTTGTAAACCCATATGAGATCTTAGACTGACAAGTCTAGAAATAGAAGAACAAGGAAGTTATTCCATTAAAGTGTTAAAGAGTGATCTTTTAGTAAGGGTTTTAGTTGAAGGTGCTATTTGGGAGGCCGAGGGCCAATAAGATGTCCCAATATCCTCATCATTTTCCTTGTATTCCTCATTTAGCATTGAGATGATGAGTTCCTCATGGTTTATTCTTTATGTGAAGTCATGTTTGTTTTAGATGTTTTCATGATTTCCTTATGTTGTGCATGTTCAAGAAGAGCTTGTGTTTTTGAAAGAAAATGAGTTTGCTTGATTGATCTTCCTCATGTTGTAGTGCATTGATGAGTTGCCTATAGACTTCATGAGATGATTTGTGAAATATGCCTTAGCTTGGAGTTGAGAGATTTATCCTTTGATGTATGTTATGAGTATAGATTGCATATAGGCTCCACGATATTGTGTTAAGTATGCTTATAGCTTGGAGATTGTAAGTTCCTCCTTGAACATGAGTAGATGTTGAAAATTACCTGCATTTTGGGTTGTTACATATAGTTCCTACCTTCTTTGTGATGCATTGAACATGTTTATCTTAGAGTTGATGGTTCTTTTTTGGTTGTGTGTATTTAGATGTGTTGCATGCATGATGGGTTGCTAGTCTAGAGTTGTGACCTTAAGAAGTTCCTATAACGTCATTTGAGGACGAATGTTCCCAAGGGGGAGATATTGTAACACCCCATATCCGAAAGAGGGAACTTAGAAACTTTAGGAGTTTCAGGTGTCACCCACGAGGGGTGCAACCACGCCTTATGGGTGGAGTTCGTTGATGACCACCCTAGAGAATCTGCCTAAGGCAGTGACCACGGGCAGGACCCACTCCCCGTGGATGGGTCCACGCCTCGTTGTTGGGGTCGTAGATCCAAGCCCAACTTCCAGTATCTCTGAACCCAAACCACGCTTGACCAGGACGGACCATTGGTCCATCCACAGTCCGTCAGCATGGTCTCGTGGGTGGGCAAATGGGGGAGTTTTGGTGGTTTAGTTTTGGGGTACTTTGGGGTAGTTCGATTTTAATTAAGATTAAGTGATGTCATTTTACCCTAATCTAGACAATCTATATAAGTACTTTAGACCCCTAAATTAAGTCATCCTAAGTTATTATTTCAAGACCCCAAAAGAAACCCAAATTATCTCTCAAATATTCTCTCTATAGAAAGTGAAGAAAAAGAAAAGAAGAAGAAGAAGAAGAAGAAGAAGAAGGAGAATCAAGCTAGGTCAAGTCAAGTCTCCATTGTTTCAAGCTTGGAAGCTTTTCTAATCAAGGTATGATTGATTATTCATTCATGGATTCATTTCATCCATGAAGCCCCCATGTTTTCCCCAATTTAGAAGAAGAATTCCCCAAGTCAAACTTGGGTTTCTTCTAATGTTATGGGTTATGGTCCAATAGAGTGGATTATGATTGTTTATGATCGTTTATGATAGAATTGCATGTTTTTAGTATGATTATACATGTATTCATGCTTAACCTATGATTCTAAGGTGGAATTGATATAGTTCGGTTTTATGCCATGAAAAGGGAAATTGAGGGCTTAGATGTGATCTTCTAAGATTGATGTATTACTTGAGATTAGAGCACGTATATATGGATTGCTTAAGAGTAAAACACATAGACATGAATTGAATTAGATTACAACTTATATGATAAATTATGGTTAGTAGTGCTTGAGATTGAGACTATATGATGATATATGATTAGAATTGCTTAAGGAATGAACCATGTGATTAGAACGTCTTAAGAACTAGGCCTATGTGATGATCATGAGAATTATTGCTCTGAGAGTAAGGCTAATATGATGAACTATGAATGTTAAGGCTTTGAGAGTGAAGCTTATATATATGTTGATTGTATATAGTATTGTTGTGGAAGGCTTACCCACATGATTTATATTATGAATGTACGCATGGTCTTAGCAAATCTATGTAAATTCTTTAGGAATCCTTTGAGAGTAAGGTGTCAATGATTATGCTAATGTTGTTGTGATGATTGAAAGGACATTCTCATGAACACATAATGAACATGATGTGAAAGGTTTTCTACCTAAAATGAATCTAAGAGTAAAAGTGATCATGGATGGTGATGTGCTCACGCATGATCTAATAAGCCTTCCTAGTTAACTAAGACATGCTTGAAGATAGTATTTCGTAAGTGTTCAAAGGATATGTTAGCTTGAAGTAGTGATGAGATATCCCTTCACGAATAGCTTGACTTGGTAAGACAAGACCATGCAAGGTAGCCTGAGATAGTAGAACTTATGCATAGCCTTGGATTGAGAAATCGTACCCTTCCAATGTAGCTTGGACTAGCATAATAGAATGCTTGCATGATAGCTTGACTTGGTGAGGCTACATCATTTCATGATAGCTTAGATTGAGCAATAGTACCCTTTCTTGAGTAGCTTGGACTTGCATGAGTGTGTGCTTTCTATGATAACTTGGTCTAGCATAGTAAGATGTTTTTCCTTGATAGCCTTGAATAAGTAAATTGTAACCATTCATGAGTGATGTTATGTTGTGGACTAGTAAACAAATACTTTTCCATGATTTACTATGAATATGAGGGACAAGTTCCTAATCTAAGTAGCATGTTTATGATGAATCAAGATTACTTCAAGGAAGTATTGTAAGTATGTTTCAATATGAGATTTGCTTGTATGATGTTAGATTAGCTTGGATTGTTGCTATAGTTTCCTTCCTTGATATGTTTGACTTAAGGTGAATTTTCCCTTGTCTATGAGAAATAAGATAAGGATGAGATCAAAAGATGATGAATATGAATGAGGGCCTAAATGGTTTTCTTAGCATAGATGAGATTTATGGGGTCTTATTCATGCATTGCACAAACATGCTTTGAAGGTTAGTTATGAAGTGTTTTTCTTATGTCATGTTGATCTAGATGCATTGATTATGCCTATGACTATGTTGTTATCTCTTGTGCTTATAGCCTATGCCTTATGTTGATGTCTCTTATGATTTTGGTATATGTCTTATGTTGATTAATGCCTGTATTATGCTTATGTTGATGATTTATGCTAGCCATCATATTTAGTACTTTATTGTACTAACAGATACTCTTGCTTATATTCTTATCAAATGCAGGGTCTGGTGATATTGACTTCCATTCTCGTGGGTAGGATCTTAGTAGAAGCAAGCAAGTGAAGATTTGGTGAGTCCTCATAGCATCGAGGAGTTGCTCACCCGTTTCTTTTATGTCTTTCTTTATGTTAGAACGTTTGTATGGGTTGTGTCCCTAAGACTTTCATGTATTATATGGTTTGAGACAATGATTAAGACTTTTGCTTCGTTTTATTAGACTTTGGTTGTATTAGAAAATATTTTTAATTTCCTCACTTTTATACTATCTTATGTTATGATATGCTAAGGGGCTTGTATGAGACTTACGGAGTCTTGTACGCCTTGTTACATCTAGGGGGTACCCCTGGGTCGTGACACAAGGTTTTGAAAATACATGTAAGTGCTATATGAATGCCAAAAAGGCATCTGAATAAGTGGTTTGAAAATTCAACAAGTTACTTCAGATGATGAGGGATGAGATAAGAGTGAATAAAAGATAGAAAATAACTTCTTCACAATCCAAGGAACAATGGAAGTAGTGTTAAGATGTTAATAGTTTTTTTGAGATTAAAGGTGATATAACATTGTTAATTGGGGAAGTTGTTTTGGCATACAATGTAATATAATTTAACAAGACTATATGTTTTGAACTTGTGATGGTCCACTTGAACATCTATATTAACTTGATGCCCTAATTTTGTATGAAACAACTTATTTGCTATTATTATTGAATGTTTCTATTATTTGTGCTAATAATTTGTGCTTATCATTTGTGTTAACCGTTTGTGCTAACAACTTGTGTTAACCGTTTGTGCTAATAGTTTGTGTCAACAAATTTGTGTTTACACTCTGTGTTTGTACTTTGTGTTCATCTATTGATTCAAACAATCAGTAAAAACATAGAAACATGGATCTTGCATCCAACACAAAATCAAGTTCACTGATTTCAACCATACAAACTAGCAAACATAAAAACTTTCAAACTTACATCAACCCAAAGAAATGCTTCAACTAGATATTTTGATCCAAACAACAACATACATGATCAACAGACACAACATGAAGATTCTATTGAGACTACAGTAGTTACTCTCTTTCTTCTTCACCTCAATCAGTTTCTCTATTGTATTTTTCATCAGCTCAACCTCTTCATGGCCCTTGAAAGAAAACACTCCTTCCACCTCTTTCACACTACATTGTAGTTCATTTATGTCCTTCATTTTCTTCACCATCTTTGGAATGATGAACTTAGATCGTTCATTAACCACATCATTTCTGCAATAAAAATATTTACACTTTTCTGATCCATAGTATGGGTAAGATCAAAATCTTCTATCTAAATTATTATCGGAACAAGAAGTTTTCAAAGAGAGCAGCAAATCGTGAAAGTATCACACTTCATCATTCAATTTTGGATCATCCTTATCAAAACAAATGCTATTCAATTTAATTTTACCTCTTCCATGGCTAACCCTAAGAAAAAAGAAATCAGAAATCAGAGAAAAAAAAATGAGAAGCTCTAATTAAAAATCGAACAAATAAGACAAACAGAGCAATAAAAAATTAAAGAGAATAATTCGTTAAAGCTTACCTCTTTGAGCCATAATGGTGATTTGTCTTTGAGTGAAAAACGCTACGGGGAAGAAGAATTAGGTAAAGAGGTAAAAAGAAGTGTGTCTAAATTAATGAATATTAATTTAACCTTCATCAATTTGTGACAGTTAATCACAGACTCATAAAGTATTATTTTGTGACCTACGCGCTCATCATACGTGTATTCACACACTTGTCCAATCGAGTGCATATATACCTTTAAAATACACTTTTAAATAGTGAATGGTGTAATAGGTCTTGCCCAAAGTTTGAGATTGTTACAATAATTTTCTTCAAAGATTAGACATATTTCAAACCATTTTCCCTTATAAAAAATCACATAAATAAAATATTTAAGATCCTAATTTATAATATATAAATAAATTATTTTTATTTATAAAATATAGTTTTTAGTTATAAAAATATAATAATTTATTTTGACATTTTTTGGCTGAAATTTTGGGATTTAGGCGGATTTTTGAGAGTGAGGATTAATTATTTATTTTTTTAGTTTTCCATTTGCAATGATTCTTGATTGTATGTTTAAAAAAATTAAATCTTTTTCTCTCTCTTCACTTTTTTTTGGATGAATATTTTCTCTCTTTTCACTTATTCAGTTTTTTTGTTTCCCACCTTGTGTCTGGTATGTACACTGAAACCCGATTAAATTCGGATTCACGTTGGGAAGTACCACATTGAGGGGGGAGGGGGGGGGAGGGGTAAAACACTCCCTAACAGAAATGATTAGTGAAAGAAAATTGTCTTCTTCTTTCACTATTATTATACACCATCGTATATTTCGAAGAAAATAATATTTCTTCTCCACCAAATTTTATACAACAAATGAATGTTTAGTGGTTTGTTCATTATATTTTACAAAATTTATGTGATTTTAATTTTTAGTAAATATGAGTAGAAAATATTCGGTGTCTGATGAGTTGGTATTTTATCAGCTCATAAGACCCAAATTTAAGAATTATTCCTATGTTTTAACGCTAATTGAGGGGATTTTAGGCTCTAGTTTTCTAGTATCTAGGCATTACTTGGAAAAAAATCAACTTTAAATGATTTGGTCTTAAAATCACTGAAGCGTACCGCCGAAGGAACTGGCGTCCCCCCTACACCGTTGTATTTTTGGAAGAAAATATATTTCTTCTCTACCTAATTTTATACAACAAATTGTACGTTTAGTGTTTGTTCACTATATTTTACAAAATTTCTATGATTTTCAGATTTTTAGTTTTTAGTTTTTAGCAAATATGAGTAGAAAATATTTTGTTTATCAGCTCATAAGACTCAAATATAAGAATTATTGCTATGTTTTGATGCTAATTGAGGGTATTTGAGGCTCTATTTCTCTGGTGTGTAGGCATTACTTGGAAAAATTAACTTAAAAGGATTTGGGTCTTAAAATCATAGAAGCACACCAGAGAAGGAACTGGCGTCCCGCAGTAGCCAGTTGGTGTCTCGCCGGCTTGACCGAAGGAAAACTGTCCAAGCACCAACGACTTATTAGCATTAAACAATTTCTAATTGTCACGATCCAAAGTATACCTTAGACGTGACATGATGTATAGGACCCGAGAGTCCCTACACAAGACATTTTACATACATACAACACAATAGAATATGCAATAAGAGAGTTTAAGTAAAATGTCTCATATTATAAAGGAGAGTTTGAACAGGAATGTGGAATCATAATTCTTTCTTGACAAGCCATTCTAAACAACATAAGAGTGGTTGAGATGGAATCCATACACCACATACAAAGTCTCAAAAGTAAATAATAAAAGCAATAAAAGGTCTTCATGGCTTTGCCCTTAGAGTATGAGGACTCACCAATTCAATAGCTATAAGCAATCCAAATCTGGCCACGAGCGAGAAAAGAAACATCAAAACCGATAATATAAGACAATATAGATATAACTATGCATTAGTAAATTAAATGTACTAATTATGAGGAAATATGCATAAACGTAGACATACCATGTTAGTAGGCTTGAAACTTGTAATGCATGACCAATTAGAACATTTAAAAGCTTAAAAAGCACAGTCATTAAAACCATGAGACAAGGATAAGCATCAATAAAAGACGTAATGGAAGCTTTGAGGGAAAATCATAGTTCTTTTTGTGGTATATTAGCTTTAACCAACAATAGACCATGTGATCTACAACATGGAATCCGATATAACTCCTACATCGAGAAATGAGAGTTTACTTGCCAAGGTAGAACTTTGTGTCATATCATTAATGCTATGTAGATCCACTAGCTAAGTCACTTAAGACAATCATACGGGGTACATAGTTTGGAACTAGAGATTTCTACTACAGACTACCTTATTTGAGCCTCCATCTCAAAGTTCTCTCGATGCTAAGTAAAATCCCAACTGAATAGATAAAGTCAATTATAAAAACATAAAATTAGGAAATACAATAATCAAAATATCAATCCAAATCATAAAGCCGTATGAGAGTAGATTCTTTCAAAATCACGATTTCAAAATATTGCTCATATAGACAATTACCTTCATAAGCATCTAAAATCATGATTCCTTTCAAATTGTGAATAAAAACATTTCACAAACCATTGCTACTTACTTAAAAACATCCTTAAATTATAACTTCATCCTTTCATAAAATATGCATAAAATCCCTTATCAATTCATGATCATAGTTCATAGTTCATAGGTGAAAATCAAAACATAAAGCATGAGTTCATATGAAATCAATTATAAATCATATAATTAGGTTAAATCATGCACAATAAGATAGAACAACATCAATTGAATCACAATAAAAAAGGACCCATGTAGATTGACATAAACCCTAATTGAATTGAGTGAAACTAAATTGGAGATTTAAGTTCTTTTGGGACCCAATGGATGAAAGGGATCCATTGGTGAATTCACACATACCTTGACAATAAAATCCCTAAGAATTTGGAGAAGAAACATTCAAGCTTGATCAAACCCAAAGATCCTTCCTTGAGAGCTCTTGAGAGTATTTGGGGAAGATGATTTAGGAGTTTTGAGGGTTTTTTTTTTGAGTGAATGAGAGGGATGAGTATTTTAAAGGGTAAAACCGGTTATAGGATAGTTATAGGGCCAAAACAATGTAGTTTCGGAGTTGGGTAGATAGGATAAGACCAAAACACCCTTCATTAAATTCTACCGGACAAAATCTACGACTTCAACCTACAGTCTGTAGGACTTTCTATGGACCATATTGGTTAATCCTACAACCAAGTACGGGAACCAAAAGTTTGCCAACTTTCCACAAAACCCTTCTACGGACCACCGACCCTTCTACGGTCCGTAGATCCCATCTGTAGACCTTAAGTTTAAGCTCAAAACATTAGTAAATATGGACCAAACCTACAGACACTTCCTATGGTCCATAAACCATCCTACTACTCGTCTTGTCTAGTCATAGGTCAACTTACTGAGACTTGAATTCCCAAAAACT